GATATGATATGGGAACTACTGGCAGACGCCAGTGGTTTCCATATCATGAAGATGCAAGGTTTAGCTGCATACGAAAAATGCGTCTCTGTTCAAACTACGACCCGTGAAGCAGCGTTGGCGTGTTTTCTTTCAATAAACTTTTTTATCACCCAGTGCGCGTATTACAACGTGGCGTAGAGGTAGAGCACCCTCTTCGTCACGTACACAGTGAATTATTTTAGACCCAAAAGGGTGTGAAAAGGATGCTTTCACGAGAAAGCATTATTTGAACACCCTTTAACACCCATAAGTGATCGATTGAAAAAAAGCACCCCTTTTTTTTGGGTGCTTGCCTCGATAGCACCCTAAAATAGGCTCCAAGGGTGCTTTTGTGCCTGAGAAGGGTGTAGGTGACGATTCATCAGATGGAATATGTAGCAAGAAGAACACATAGTTATAATATTTGGGATTTTACGTCTCAAAAACCTCAATATGATTATGAGGGTCGTCTTAGTGGAAAGCTCCAGAGATTTTGACCATTTGGTGTTATTTAATGAGCACTGATATCGCACAGTGCACAGGCTTCTACCTTTTCGACTCTTCCTTAATTCGACTTCCACGGCCGGCATCGAACCCGCGACCTTCGGATTGGCGGCCCCGCAGCGTAGCTATTGCACGAATATGTGGACCTTGTGTTAAATGACGGCCTAATTGACTTAGAATGCCTGAAGGTGCTCTCCGAATACAGCAGAATGCCAGCAGAAGCAAATCGCGTTTCGTCTATAATGGTAATTAACTGCAATCCATATTACGAAAGCTTTCCTTAGCGTTAGTTATTAGCTACATGTTTGCTATGGATTATATGCAGGAACATAATGTTCGCCCGAGTATGGGTGTGTGTGCGTGAGCCTGCGCATGTGTTCGTGTGTAAGCGCGATTGTGTGTACACCCGTGCATGTGTGTGTGCGCGTGTATGTGCGAGTCCGTGCTTGTGTTAAGCATGCCTGTGCACATGTGTACGCCCAAGCATGCGTGCGTTTATGGTCGCGTGTGTGTGTGGCCGTATGTGTGTATACGTGTATGTGTGTGCGCCTGTGAATAAGTATGTGTGTGTATCAGCCCGTGCGCCCTCGAATTTCGTGTGTGTGTGGTGGGGGGGGGAGGGGGCACTGCTTCTTAGTGTTTAAGGTCCCTCACCTGTTCAGACTGGGAGTCTATATGGGAGGTGGCTTAGGGAATGGGGTTGGTCAACGCACTGTACACGGACTATGCAGTACATGGAAAAAAGCTTGCACATTCTCGTACCTCATCGTTGCTTATGAACTTGCTGTGGTAGCTGATTAGGTCCGCTGAGGCGCTTCTACGCTCTAAAACGTGGGTTATGACCAATTAACACGGAAATCTGTCACTGCACTTATACACAACCATCCTTTATATTAACAACGTTTAACAAGAACGTGCCCTGCCTTTGCTACAGGTGCTTAACTAGCTCATTGGGCAACGACATGAAATTATGTGCTGATCATGTGGTCAGAAAAAAGTTTGTTATAACAACCTCGGCACGTTTCGTGGTGCGTGACAAGCCTTCTAAACATCTGCGACTGTGGATTGATTTGTTCCAGCTTCGACTACGCGTTCAGTGTTTGCGGCACCATACGCGAAATTGCCAGACACAGACAATGCGAAAAGAAATTCCTCTGAAAATAGGGGTTGCGATGCTCTCCCGCTAAAGCCACCAAGGACGAAATAATTATTAATTCTGGCCATTCCAGGGAGCACTTTGTTTTCCGCAAGTTTTGCTTCAGTATTTTTCACCCACTGCAGTCGCAGTGGGTTCAAACTTGCCCCATATATGGGGCAAGTTCGAACTCCTCGGGTAAAGTTTTCTTTAAACCTTTTTTTTTGTACAATTTGTGCTGAGGTTCACCTTACTCTAGTAGCAATTCGTTTGTGCCTTAAGCTAACTTATGCTCACGCCTTATATTTCGCGGCTGTTTCTTGCTGTTTCTTGTGTTGGCGCTTCAGGAACTAAACAATCATGACCACAGAAGCATGCTTTTTTCCTCACTGAAAGTTATCCTATTACTTGACGCATTAAACTTACATCTGAGCATCTACGCTCGGAGATGTATGATTACAAGACAGTTATATTGCTTTGCGGGGTCGGTGGTAACACGCAAGCGCTCGATTGTACTACGTTTGCAAGGACGGATTGCCAGATCCCAGTCACGCCTTTATGGGCACGAGAGTTGCATAGATTCGGAACTCCAGTTGAGTAGCAGAGAGTGCGCAGTCTCTTCTACTCTGCATTCCACCAAAGAGTACGTTTCGTGGCCAACTCTGCCCTACTCCCCCGTGGAGTTAAAAAACTCCACGAAGAGTAACACAGCCACTCTGCTCTTGCAATATCCGCTCAAAGTCTGTGAGTGTGTGTATTACAGGCTGCGTGAGAGGTGGCGTTGAAAGCTTTCTTGAAGTTGAATCCTAGAAATGCCCAGTACTTATCGTCTGGTTGTTAAGTATGTGGCGTTTGGTTCGCAACATCGCGTCCTGCATAGAGAGATGAGCTCGAAACTCGAACATGGTATCCAGGTACGCTTCAGATTTTGTGGAAGCGTGGGTTGATACGGACTCAGAATAGAGTTTTCAAAGCAGACGTACGACTCAGAATGGACTTTTCAACGCAGACGTATGAAATTTGGGGTAAAGGTTGACAAGATTTGTGGGTATTCTAGGCTTCTGAGTGAGCACCATTCCTTCTCTGGTCCTTTGATCAGGCATGGACCATCGCGTCCGGCATTCATCGTTATACTTAGTCCGTTAAATAATGGTCTTCTCCACGTTAGGAAGAGCCTCATTGGTTACGCAGTCAGGCCCCGCAGCTCATAGAGTGTTGACGTATTGCAGAGCAGCGTAAAGATTCGGCTCGTCAAAGCCCCTGTTCAGAGGGAGGTTGGGTTTTCTGCTGTACTACTTGTTTGAAAAAGAGAGCCTTCAGAGCATGATCTTTTATATATGTATGGTAATTTGCACCAATGTTGCAACAGCAAAACAAGTAGATGAGCCTAATTTGTTCCAAGTGTCACGGTCCAATATACAAATGAAAATATTGGATATATAATGTTTTAAACAGGTGTTTCTTCTTTTACATATTGACAAAGTGATGAATAATGAATTGTCAGCTACGGCTGCATGGGTTGCTTTACCATGCTCCTGGACCGACTAGCGCAATCTTTTCTTCGTCAGATGACATCGTCCACAATCAGTTTATTTAGTTTTTTACTATTTATTTATCGAAAATTTTTAGGACCCTGTATACGTGGTTTTACAGGAAGCACGGAAGAAAGATACAAGTTAGGAAATCATTACTAAGTATGACTCCTCGGATTTTTCTAAATGAGCATGTTTGACGTGAAGCACGATGTTTGAAGTAATATTCTTCGAGTGAGTGGCAGTCTTGACGAAAAAAAGATTACAGCTAGGTGCGTGGTGGTGCGAGCAACAGAAAAATCTACTGCTTTCTTTATGGCTAAATAGTTGAGAGATGCGTTGGGCTGGATTGAGGATACGGCTGTGACGCAAAGCACGCTAAAGAAAAAAAATCACATAGGTAAAGCCTCTCCATTTCTCCACGCATCTGAAAACTAGGCGGACCTCTTATTTAATTAAAAGCTGTATTTGACTAGTATAAACGAAGGACCGCCCAGCAGGGGCTTCACACACGCTCTCCATTGGCTGTGATGTCAGATACGTCGTTCGCAACAACGTATCCCGGCACACGTGCCATTTGCTGCGTAGTGAGTGACACGTCAATCATCCCGTCGCAACCATGGCCTTAAGCACGCGCTTATGGGTTTCTCCTGAAATCTTCCTCATGAGCATGCCACGGACAACTATAGAACAACGCTGACAGTAGACATGTGAGAGAGCTCGCACTCCCCGGTCTGATGGCGCAGCCTTGGCGCAAAAACACAAGCCCAAGAGGCCGAGTGCCGGCAGCATATATGTACCAGTATCCGGTAACCTTCCAGGCCGCACTAAATCGGGAACAGGAATGCAAGCGCCGGTGGCGGGCGGATCTTGCAAACCACGTCACCGAGTTAGCTCGCGATGTCAAACCCTTGAAGCAACTCAGCGTTGCGGCCTCAATGGGACAATTTCGGGAGGACGTTTGCCGCAGCGAACAGCCACTTTTGGCGGTAAGTTTTTCCCACAGCACATTGACTTCAGCGGTGACGATCTATGATCGCATGTGATTCGTACAACCAGTGGGATTAAGGCATTGCGGAACGCGTTTGTTCACTCATTACACTCCCATGATCATAATCATGCGAGGCACAAAGCGAGGCATGTGAAATAAAAACTGCGGTAAATCCAAGCCAAACGTGTTTCTAACCTCATTAAGAGGCACGAACGTGTGTGAATGGTGTCAGTGCCCCGTCAGGTTGAACTCCCTTCTAAACACCGGGGCCGCAGGCTTTAGCTTACGTTCGTTAATCGATTGTACGCAGTGCTTTGGTGGTGATTTGTTCTTTAGGATAGTACCGCAAGTAATGCACGCATACCCAGAATAGAGCATTTAAACGTCTTGGTGTTGTATCGATTCCATTGGATCGGGCAGAACATGTTCAGTGGGATCCACGACCAAACAGACGCACTTATAAGCAGACGCAGTTATAAGCAGACAATTATAAGCTAGTGGTTTAACCGGACGAGAAGCGTGTGTTAGATCTCATTCAAGATCGCTTGAAATATGGTTAGTGGCATTAGTAATATTGGTTATGTAAGTAGTCCAAGGGATGTCGTTGCAGATAAGCAATACCTAGGTAGTTACAATACGTTCTGAGAAGGTATTGCTGCCAATAAAGAACTAATTGAGAGAAGAGCAGTCATGGCGTCTCAATATTATACAGATACTTCAAATAAATATACGAATGTTGAGAAATGGATTACGTTTCTTGATTTCGCAAGGGCGCGATAATTTTTTGGAGATGACATATTTTTTTTGTATCAAACTGCAGCGCCGCCGGAGCCACCCGTAATACGGGGCAGTGAGGGCAATGAACTTCGAGGAACGATTGGGCCCTTCAACGAAGGAAGCACGCTGGCATTGGTTTGCGTCGTGTATGGAGGTGAGTTCAATGCTTTCTTCATGCATTTATCTAAAAAAACGTCTTACAGTTGACAAATGAACAGTGCTGTCGACGAAGAAAAATAAAATTTTGAAGCAAACAATTTGCCATGCATGTGGTGGATGGTAAAACAAGCTTTATCGTCAATTAAAAAAAATGATGAATAGTGTTCAGCCTACAGACAAAAATAATTCAACGAATGATCGAACAAAAAACAATAATAAAAAGTATTATGTAAGATAATTCGAGTAGGGAGAAACTACACGTAGCCACCAGCTTTCCGTGAAACGCATTTAATAATATATATATATATTATATATATATATATATATATATATATATATATATATATATAATGAGATATAACAGACAGTAATGCCAAGGAATGTACAGGGGAAGTTATTAGAACCAATGGAATGTAAATAAGAAGAAAGAAGAAAGAAAACTGGATGAAAAAATTACCACCTGTGAGCAGGAATCGAACCTACGACCTTCGAATAACGCGTTCGATGCTCTCGCGTCGAACGCGAGAACGCGTTATTCGAAGGTCGTAGGTTCGATTCCTGCTCACAGGTGGTAATTTTTTCATCCAGTTTTCTTTCTTCTTTCTTCTTATTTACATTCCATTGGTTCTAATAACTTCCCCTGTACATTCCTTGGCCTTACTGTCTGTTATATCTCATTATTATTGTGTTAAAACACGGAAATACGAGCCCTTAGGTATACACTTCTCTCCCTTATATATATATATATATATATATATATATATATATATATATATATATATATATATATATATTAGTATATATATATATATAATATATATTAGACTATATATATATATATATGTATATATATTTATATATGGTTAGTCTTCATGAAGGTATGGAATATGGCACAACGGGAGCGTTGTCAACAAGGATAATATATTTATTTTCCAACAGTTTCGGGAGGGGTCCTCCCTTCATCAGGGGATGAGTTATACTGACATGAACTTCCAAACTTCGTTGCTGCCGCGCTCCTGTCGCCTTGAAAGATGTTTGCGAGAGTGAGAGGGCACTACAAAGAGGAAAGAAAGAGAAAAAAGAAAAAAAAAGGGAAGGAAAACCGAAAAGAAAAAAAGAAAAAAAGAAAAAGAAAGAAAAGAAAGAAAGTATAAAAGCACCACTGTCAACACTGAGAACAAAACCAACTGTCCGTGTACGTCCACATCCGGTTTTTATCACGTGCTGTTCAGTTCTCGACGTGTGTCGGGCCACCCAAGATTGTCGCCGCGGTGGCTGGAGGGGTCCGTGAAAGGGTTTCCCCTTAATGGGTCGGTCGGCTCTTTACCTTTAATCTTCGTCCGTTTCCCTTAAATGGTCATCAGGTGGTAGGTGAACATAAACACTTTGTATGCGCATGTGAAAAAAAGGAAAAAAGGAAAAAAAGAAAAAAAACAAGAAAGGACAGTGTACACGTACGAGTCAGTCAGAAAAACAAGCATGGTCTCCAGCTATCAATCTTTGTCACCAATTTCCTCCTGACTTACTTCTCGGAGGCAGGAGAGTTTTCCGGGGTCCTCGTTGATGCCGGCTGCTAATGTTCGGAATCTGAAAATAAAATATGCCTCACGCTGTTCGCACTCGCGCCTGTTTGAGAAACCGGATTGCACAGAGTTACGCTGATATTTTGAAAACTGTGGTTTGGCAGGCGCAGATGTCTAGATAAAGGTAGCTTCGGCAGTGAAGTGGCGTGATATCGGTGATTATTGAACTGCAGCCGAAATGGCGTGTCTGTTTGTCCGATATATTTTTGTCCGCAGATGTTGCAATGTAGCATGTATATTACGTTACTGGAGTCACAATTAAGGCTTTCAGTTTTGCAGAATTTGAAATCCGAGAAGTTTGCTTTGGATTCACGTGTTCTAACCATCTGTGGGCATACCTTGCATCGAGCTTTTCCGCAGGGATGGCACCCTGATTGAATTTTGGGGGTGTTTTTGCTCTGACAAGAATGTCCTTGAGATTTTTATCCCTGCGGTACACCACGTGAGGTGGCTTTGCAAAAACAGAAGTTTGTCGTTTGCTTATCCTAATTATGTTGAAATGGCGGGAAAGTATGTTGTTGATTTGTGGCGCTGATGAGGAGTAAGTTAGTACAAGGTTCGTTTGGGAAGTCGTTTTATATACTCTGTTTGGGCCCTTAATTATATCATTCCTGTTCACGTTGTGAGCACGTAGTATGGCATCGTCAATAATGTCTTCCTGATAATTTTGTTTCAATAAGCAGTGCTTTAGGTGTTCCGCGTGTCTGTCAAATTCCCGCATATCGGTGCATATTCTTCGGTACCGGCAGGCCTGAGAATATGAAATACCCGTTTTGCAATGCTTTGGGTGGCTGCCGTTGAAATGTAGATACATTTGACAGTCTGTAGGCTTTTTGTAGAGGTTCGTTGACAAGCGGTCATTTTTGACCGTGACAGTGACGTCCAAAAAGTTAATGCCAGTTTTGGAAATTTCGTGTGTGAATTTAATTGATGGGTGGCACTTGTTAAAATCCTCTAGTAAGCGGAAAAGACCTCCCTCATCATGGTTCTATATCATAAAAATATTGTCTAAGTATCTTCTATAGTAAAAAGGTTTCAATGTGCGTCCCTCAATGAATGGGATTTCAAGTCAAGCCATAAAGGTGCTCACGAAGTTTGGGACCATTTTCGTACCCATTGCAGTGCCACTGAGCTGAAGGAAATGCTTGCCATTGAACTCAAAATGGTTATAATTTATTACAAGTTCAAGAAGTGTAAACAGTACCTCGCCACTTACACTAGTTGATGAGTCAGATTTTACATATTCAGAAACCATAGCTGCTATTCCGTCATGGTGAGGTATGTTGGTGTACAATAAGCAGACATCCATGGTCACCAGAAAACTGCCACCTCGGATGTCGAGACTGGAAGTTTCGCAGATGAAGTGGTTTGTGTCCTTTAGGTAATAGGGAAAATTTGGGGGATGTTTTTTATTAAGGAATTGATGAATTGTGATATATTTTCTGTTGATGTGCTGGTACTGGATACTCTCGGACGTCCCGGATTGCCAGACTTGTGTATTTTGGGGAGCAAATAGAATCGACCGGGAACAGAATGGGCCGGTAACATTGCTTTTAACATTTTGCCGGTAATTTTCTCGTTCTGGCGGAGATTATTTGGAGTTACTTTTATCTCCCTTTCAAATTCGGGAGTCGGATCCGTTGGAGTTTCTTTGTAGAATTTTGTGTCTGATAGTTGTCGTTCCCCTTCCTTTAAGTAGTCCGACGTGTTTAGAATTACTATGCAGCCCCCTTTATTAGCCGCTTGATGGTAATTCCAATGTTTTTTCGTAGTTCATCGAGTGCCCTTCGTTCTGACTTTGATATGTTGTTTCGAAATGGCCGATTTTTTTCCTACGCTCTGATGATATCTTTCTGAACTGCTGATATATACATATCGAGGTGTTTGTCCCTCTGCTCACCTGGACACCATAATTTGTCACCACCAATCAATCTATTCTCGTCTGTACAGTCCTTGCGATCATGAAAGTATTCACGGAGGCGGAGATTACGCGCAAAGTTATCGAGGTCTTGGTACAGTTCAAATTCATTAAAACTATCGGATGATGGACAAAAGGTTAAGCCTCTCGACAAAAGTTGAAGCTGTACGGGTGTGAGTGTTGTGTTTGACAGATTGAGGATATTTTTCTCATAGGTTTCTGGCTGCTCTTGGCTATCACGTGGCACGGGAGTGTCAGCGTCATATTCGAGAGTAAGGATGTTTTGATTAGAATTGCACTGTAGTTTCGAGTTCCCATTTTTCTCCTCAAAGTTAGGTTGTGGTACGGGTGGTCCCTGGCGTTCTTGTACGGCCTCATTCCTATTTTCCTGTTGCAGAGCAGTGAAGCTTCTGCAGTCGCGCTTGAATTTTCTATCTTTTACTACTGAAATTTTGCCTCTCTTTTTTAGTTCATAACTTTCCAGTTCTCTTGCCTCATACTCTCCGAGATTAGATACCAATTTCTGCGTGGCATCCGTGACACTGTATTCGGCGGCCTTACGCTCACTATGGTTCGCAATTACCCCAGTCAGTTGCAAGGACGCTTCTAGTAATATTTTTTCCCACTTCCCCCTTTCTGCTTCAATTAGTGTAGACATTGAGGGGATGAAGGCTAGGCGGAGGCCCTTAGGTGCAACTTCGTGAGATAGATATTTGGTTAGTTGTTCCGCGTGTTTTTCGTATTGCACCCGCTTTTCAATGTTTTACCTAATCGATGAAATGAGTGGGACCATGCGTGTTTAAGACTGCCCGTACCTTTTGTTTCCCTGTGTCATTTGGAAGCCACCGCCTTGGTCTTCGCCGCATTTGTCTGCCTGGTGTTGTAAGGCCTCGCTGGTGGGAGTGGCGACGTCGTCACTGCTGGGACCCTGGATGGCTCTGTGTGTCGCTCGGCTCCTTGTTGTTGAGGGGGCTTGGCACTGGAGTTGTCCGTGCAAGCGATTGCCGCTGATCTCCATGCCGCCGACGTCCATCGCAGATGCACGCTCGTGTGCTGTGCCAGCAGCGCGACTCCCTCGAAGCTTGCATGTAAGCCGTCAGCAGCCAGGCAGCGGCGCAGCGGGAGTGTTGAGAAACCATGTTCGACGTAATAGACGCCTGCTCCCAACAACTCGTAGTGGCAGAGACGGCGGGCCTCTCTGCTGAATCGTTGTACCTCCATATTAAACCGATTCATTGATCGCCAGTTCGAGTCCCGCCATCGGCAATGGGGTGCGCGAGGTAGTGGCAGACTAAGATGCAGTGTCTTGATGTTCGGGCGCATCTGCCTCATTCGTTTCACTGCCTCCCTCAACGAATCCAGTGATCTTGAAGAGCTCGTCTTCAGTATGTCCGTGGTGCCCACATGCAGAAACAACGTGTCCACCCGGTAAGGTAGGTACTCAAGTAGCGCCGGAATGTCCGGAAACATAGCACCGCCATAGGAGATGAAGCACGACGTCGATGAGTCGTTCGGGCTGAAGTGCGTGTGGACGTACCGCATGATTGAGTCTCCGATGACGGCACACTTCGTAGGGTAATTTGGATATCTCCGTGACAAACGCTTCGTTGATGATGTACTGGCAGCCATGGTTCAGGTCAGTGGGAGTAATAATTCAATGGGCCAGTTAGCCTTCGTGAAGGTATGGGATATGGTACAACGGGAGCGTTGTCAACAAGGATAAATATATTTATTTCCCAACAGTTTCGGGAGGGGTCCTCCCTTTTTCAGGGGTTATATATATATATATATATATATATATATATATATATATATTATATATATATATATATATCTTTATATATATATATATGTATATATATATATATATATATATATATATTATATATATATATATATATATCTTTATATATATATATATATGTATGTATATTGGCGCAGCAACGGTACTACTGACAGACTACTCACAGTAAAATGGTTCGAGGTTCTACAAGAAAAAGTGTTGCGATGCAAATATCTGACGCACGCTCACACCTTAAAAAGTACCAGGACATAACCGAACAAGTTGTTGTGGACTTCGTCTGGACAGCCGCTATCGAATTCACAAATAAAGATCATTTTTTGAACTTGAAAACAAGCCTATCCTTTCGAATGAGTGACCAAAGCAATAAATGAGTTTTTTATGGTGAGTTTTGTTTAGTACATTTGTGCAGCCAGGATTTCTTCTTGCTCGAAGTTTCAAGTAAAAGGCTACCTTTAGTGTCTAAGGAGGTAATCTTTCATGTGTCGTATTGTTATGTTTCTCATTTTTAACCCCGTAGAGGGTGTTCAGAGTACCTGCGCATTATGACCTCGAGATGGGAGCCTCAGCGCAACGTGAAACTCAAGCAGCAGCTTGACAAGACTTATGTTTTAGGGTAACGTGTACGGAAGTGATTTCAATTTCAGCACTCGTGAACATTTTGCCATAATAGCTAGTGAATAACTTGGGTAGTAACTAATAAAAAATTGAGGCATGTTGTGAATATCAACCTTAGACAGAAATGCCGTACATGACTAACAACTCTCTTGCTTTCAGGCAAGCCTAAGCCAACGTTGGTGTGGAGCGGCATGCCCGACGGCATGATGGCCGAAGTGCGTCCTTCTTCGGAAGCTCAGCTCACCACCTCCACTCTGCTCATCCACTCCCTCAGGAGGGAGGACCTGCGTTCGACACTCTATTGTACAGCGTCCAACAACATATCCTCGCCAGCGGACACGTCCGTCACGCTGGATCTCAACCGTGAGTAACTTCGGTTTATCTCGTCCAAAAATAAAGTGGATACGCACGTTGTAAGATACAAATCAAGCGCATTGTGCAAATATGTGTGCACGAAGTGACGCGTATTCGCGAGGGCTCATTTTCCGAAAAAAAAAGCTGCAGAAACAAATTGTAGGTTACGCGCGGCACATTTTCAACATGAATACACAAAGTCGCTCATCTTTTCAGCCCTTCGATAGATGGAACTGTCCATTCGGAAAAAGTATGCGAATGCTTCTAGTGTCATCACGATGGACGATGGACGTTTTAACGATGTGTTCGTTAGTGCTGGAGCCACGAGTCACAGCTATGTTAACGACAGTGTTGTCATCAGTCTGTTGTCCTCCACAATGTTGTCAGCTTAACTTTAGGAGCGAGTTCATCTGACCTCTAGGGGAGTCCCTTCTCATCTAGATCAACTTCCCTGTTGCTGCAAATCTATTCGCGCAACTGATCAACACCGTGACGTAAGCTTTCACTCCCGCAACACACCACGTGCATCAATGTTCCTGTACGTAACTAGGTCGGCGCTGCGTGCCCTGTCATCTTGTGGTGCACGATTCGGCCGGCATCAGTATTCCACGCACAACTCGGCTTCGTCACACTGGGCGTGCGAATTACCTTGGCTGCAGGAACGACTGCGTCGTTTCAGATGGGCAATGAGAAGCAACTACATCACGAATTATCTGAGTGGAGGTCATCATGAGGATGCCGTGGGGGGAGTTGTCCACCGCCCTCAACACAAAAACAAAAGGACCTCGTTGGCGAAGCGGCAATTAGCATACAAGCAAACCGATAGCAGAAAGTTACAGTAGTGAAAGAAGTGTAAAAAAAAGCTTATTGAAGTGAGTGAGGTGCGTCGTACCGGAAGCATTCTCTTCTTTCGACGTCATCCGTTTGTCTTCGAAAGTGGTGGTCCCCCAAGAATGATTTCATCATTCGACCAATAAACGAAGTTTCTGCATAATTTTGAGAAGTCGCCTTGAATACTACGGAGAGAAAAAGTAAAATGATTAATTTCAATAAGATTTAGGCACTCACTGCATGTGTGTGAACTAGCCAGTCCGCTGTAGATTGCTTGAGTGGAACGGTGATGGTTGATGCACTGCCTTGACTTAGCTGCCTTTTTTTTTTCAATGACAGTATTTCGGCAAATAGTTTGCCTTTGTATAGTTTTTTGAAAATATGTCAGAAGCAAGATCTCGTGATCGTTTCCAGGCAGTTAGCTAGAGAGCTAGGTGCGTCGGAATCAATGCGCACAAGGAAACAAATGCAGCGTGAACACGACGGAGATACCTGACGAAAAGGGAAAATTGTTATAGTGAAGTAAAAACACTAAAGGCCTCGCGAACCCACGGACGCGTTCATCAAAAAGTTAGGTGACGACCGCATATTTGAACCTCCTGTCTGTTTAATACATGTGGTCTTCAACACGCGGGCCGCATACGACCTGCGGATGTTTTGCGTGCGACCCATTCTTTTTCCACGGAGTGAAATGTTCGTGACATAGCTAAAGGTTGCAGTAATACTGCTACTATTAACGCTTTCACCGGGTAAGGCACAGAGATGGGTCTGTTCTCCAGCCTTTCTTTATTTTCATCTGTCGCCATGAGTTGAACCGTAAACGTGGAACAAATTCTGTATCATATCGTAATGGCCCAGATCGAACTCATTCAGACATCTCTATCTGTATGGTCCTCGACGCCTGACGCTGAATGGCCTACAGAAATTATTCATATGTTATACATCAGATATCTGTTTTTTAAAAGCGCAGCTTTATGTCCTCTCCTTCTCCTTCCTTCAAACTTCGCTATCCCGGAATCTGCGGGACAAAATTTTGCACCTGTGGCTCGCTAGTTGAGGTGAGTTTGAGACGCCTTTGGCATGCCACCAGAAAGCCACCATTCTTTACACAGGAACGACAGGATATATCTGCACTTCTGCATGGGTGTACAATATCGCTAGTGCTGATGCTACGTTATGCAATGAATGTAATGAAGTGAGGGATGTAGAGCACTAACTTTGGTTGATCACAATCTTTCATTCTAAAAAAAGAAGCTTGCGGTCCGCATGAGAGGAATATATTTAGTCCAGAAGTGCGTCAACGAAAAAATATTTTGAGAAGGATTGTTTATTTTACTGATACTGAGAATAGCGCAACAAGAGAAAAAACATAAGAATAAACACAGATGAACGCTGATCTTGGAACAGAAGTTTACTTCCGAAACGAGGCAATGTGTAAAGAAAAACGCCACATGACAAAACATTGCACATTAATACTTGCAAAAAACCAAAAACTAGAATCAGCCTACGTCACTTTCAGGAGTCATGTGGGCGGGATAAACAGTGCACTTGTTTTTCCTTCAAGGCTAAGAGCGGGATGCTGACGCAGATAGTCTCCCAATTTCTGCTGCCTCAATTATCACACGCGTTATTTGGGAATCAAATCACCCCACCGCTCGGCACCTTGAAAATAGGGGTTTGCAATAAAGAGCGCCAGACACTCTGAAATGAATGAATGAGTGCGGGCTGTCATTTTAACAACCATTATTAGTTTTTCATGCTCTGCTTTGTTCCGGAAATAAACTTCAGTTGTTAGTCCAGCGCTTCTTCGTGTTTTTTCCTATCTCTTGTTACTCGTTGCGCCGTTTTCAGTATGCTGGATGACCAATTCACCCAAATATTTGCTCACTGAAGTGTTGCTCATTGTGCTCGACGAAACCTCACGAATTCTGCTCACTTTACGCCGAGCGATTATATGATAGGGTTCACTAAGTTTGAGAGCTGGGTTATTTGGTGACATCATTTTGTCGTTAGGTCGAGTAGCGAACTTCTGACATGGACAAAGAAAACATGACAGACGTGACACTTTCTACACTTGTAACTAAGTTTCTGCGCTAATTCTCTTATGGTTTAACAATGAAAGGATACCTAAAATGTCTCAAGCACTCTGCATTGAAAAATAACAGAGAGGATTTTATTCACGTTTCGACGACTCTTGATACACGCCTTATCTTCAGTATGTTCTTTTCGACGCTTTTTTTATGTACAAAGTACGTGGGTAGTATAAGGATCAAGCGCTCAGGCTACCAGAATTTCGCATGTTTTGTGCACACGATGTTGTATCCATTTGCAAAGTGTAACCAGCAGTAAACGAAGTAAAATCTGTTTATCGCGCTTTCCAGGCGAAGCTAAGCAAAACGAGCACGCTACAAGCTGTCAAATTGTGGTCAGGAAAACTTCGCGAACGATGTATTTGGTAAATGGACTGATCAAGAGCTAATGCCAATTTCTGAACTACAATTCTTAGGGAACGTTGTTAGGGCCTCTTAAAGAAGCAAGCAGACAAAAAAGAGCAGGCAGGGAGGTTAACCAGAAGGACGTCCTGTCGGCTACCCTACTCTGGGGAAAAGAGACAAGAAAGATGATAAAGAGGGAGGAGGGAATGACAGACATTGGGGCATGCGATATTTGCGGCACCGATGAAAATATCGATCACCTGCTATGCCGCATTCCTCGATTCGCCTGAGAAAGACAAGTACTTACGAAAGCAATGCGAATGGATGATCGGCCGCTTTCTCTGCAGGGGCTATTACAGCACAGTTCACATCTGTTGAAATTCCACAAGGCAGTTAAAACCCTCGTGCTTTTTTGAGGATGACGAGTTTATGTGACTGCCTCCCACTTGTGGTGAAGTATACGTGCTGTGGTGACTGCACTGTGTATCTCCCTGTTTCTTTTCGTTATAGACTTTTAAAAACGTCGTATTGTCTAGCTTGTCTTTCATGCCTAATTTTACTTCAATGGTAATTTTTACGAAGTGGGCACTGGAGTTTTCGACCACGGTTGCTTGTTTCTCGAGAAGTTCATTGGTTACTGCATGCAACTTTGTGCTCCATAATTACACTCCCGGGCACGAAAAGATTCAGAGTAAACCTGGGCCTTTAGTTTAGCGTTTGTACTTTAAACGTGTTCGCTTTCAATTTAAAATGTTCAGAAATAAATTAGTGTTATGATAATTTCATCTTACAGGCTCTATCAGAATATGCGAAGAAATTTTGCTTTCGATTGGTGGGGAAGCGTTACACGAAAAAAAGTAATAAAGAATTCCACCGCTTGAGCTTAACATACACGAAAGCAGTATTTCGCACGTTTCTGATAGTGTTTGTATTGTGTTAATACATAATAACAAGATATTTACACGTTAAAGCTCAGACGATTGCTCCTCTTACAGGAGTGCATAACCTGGCACCCTCTACGCTCAGTGTAACTTTAACGCTCATCTGTTACTAAACACTTAGGCTAACGAATCATTCATGGCTCTAAACTTCTCATTGTGATACTTTTTTCATGTTTCACTGAAAGTAGCGTTATTGCTTCGTTAACGTCTGTCTTTTTCTCGAAGTGCTGAGCGTCGCGTGCACAGTTTGTTCGAACGCAATCGTGTAATTAATAAAATGGCTGTGGAACGAAGAGAATGTACTAACAGTCCATTTTGAGAATAGGATTCATGGCACAGTGGGTTAAGTATGCAGCAAGACTCTACAAATAATGAACCTCTGCAACAGTATTACTTCTTTTCCTTGAATAATTTCTCTTACAGAAGGAATCAGTGCCGCTCTTTGTAGCAACCGAGCCTTTTAGTATATTGCACGCAACGAGTGCTAGAAAGAGTTGTGCTTATTCTTTACGTATAACAGGGGAGTAAAAAGCTTGACAATCTACAGAGTCATCTGTTGTGTACAGTTGGTACCACAAGTAACGTCCTCATGTTGTGGGCTGTCCTCGAAGTGCCGTCATGATTGTCGGAAACAGATAGTGGAAACGCAGTGTTTCAGTTTGATCGACTTGTGACGTGTCAGGTCAAGTGGAGTTTTGTTGTCTTCTCAAAAGCAGTCAATTATTTCAGTCAATAGCGCCTCTGCTGGATATTGCAGTTGTATTTCGTCTGCTTATGAAGTCTGTCCTGGCAAGAGCTCATTTTCCGATTGAGTAAATACGGCATACCCAGTATAGGAAAGCTTGAACTCTTATTGTTTTAGCCGACAATCCTCGTTCAATTGGACCTTTATTAGTTGGCTTCCGTCATTAACGTCATTTGTTTCAGCGAATGTGCGCTTGAGGTTCGAATTAATAGAAATAGAATGAAATGAAAAAAAACTTTATCTTTTGTCTTGCAAGACGCGTTTAGGGCGTAGCGGGCGTCTCCTACGTAGGGGCAGGCATACAACTATTCATCTGTGCTTGTGATTTTTCAAACACAGCAAGCCTTTCATGATAGGTCGAAGTTTTCAGGTTCGTGGTGCCTGCGCTTGCAAATCACCAGATCTATTGAAAACAGTGAGAGGACTTGAACGCACAAAACCGAAATTGTACAGTACGGTACACTGTAACAGGGAACGTGCGAGTGCGTGGGTGGTCGTCCGGAGAGCGCTAACAGCTGGTGAGATTTCAAAATGCGGTGAATGCGCGTTGGTTCATTGATGTGGTGCGTGCCGCGTGTCATCTGCTACGTCTCTGCCGATGCACTTGGCTTGCGCTAGCAAGCCATGATCCTTCGTGCTTTTTCGTTTTCGCGCTCTATAATTAGTGAAAATAATTGTTTTGAATTAGTGACATAATTAGTGACAAGAGCCGCGCATTCAAAGAAAAAAAAAACGTCCTCAAGGTCACAAGGCACGGTAGTTTCTTTGCCACCCCTCTCTGCTTAGCTTCCAGCGCTTTCGTCGGGACGAGAAAAGACATAATGCAATTGTAGCATGTGACAAGCCTTTGTAACTCTACTCGCACTGGACGGATTCTTAAAATTTTTGCGGCGTGGAATTCTTGAGGTAATAAGCTGTTCTAATGAATTCATTTCGCGGTTACTCGAAAAAGTGTTTTAGAGCCACTTTACCGCATTTTATTCGTCAGGTGGCTCGACGAAAATGAGCCTATTCGGCGATCAATTGCGCGTGCTGTTACAATCTACTGCGTGCACGCGCGCGCGTGTGCGTGTGTATGTGTGCGTGTGTGTGCGTGCGTGTGTGTGTGTGTGTGTAACAAAACATAATAGTAATTATGCACTTAGCCGTTTGAGGGCGCACTAGGGACTGGATTTCGCACTCAATATCAACTTTTGAAGGCGAAGCCTAATGGTCCCCCAATTTTTTTCTTTTCATGTTATGTCAAAATTTCTCAACGTGCAGTGCGCCCCACATTAGTGAAGATAAGGCGCACCGAGATCCCCATCTCGGCTGGCGTACCTGCTGAGATCGGCTGCGAAGTGTGGGGATCGAGGCCATCACCCGTGGTCACGTGGTGGAAAGGACTGCGCGAGCTAAATCACACGTTCGTCTACAAGTCCACGGACGGCAATATGACCACGAGTGTGGTGTCGTTTACGGCTTTGAGGGACGACCATGGTTCCAGTCTCGCTTGCCGCGCCAAGAACCCGACAATCGCCGAAAGCGTCAAGAAGGACACCTGGACCATGAACATCCAGTGTGAGTGAACTGGTCGTACTACAACCCGAACGTTGTAAAATAAAAAAGACAAGCAACATATCACATGGTCAGCACGGTTCAACATTATTAGATAGCAACCACTCAGCGGCTCAGCAGACCAGCGTGTTCAGCGAACGAGTGGTGACGCTATCTTCGCATGCGCGGCCCGCTCGCACAACCAGCAATTTGTTTTTCGAAGCGAGCCACTTTGCCGCTCATTTCGTCTCCTCAGCGAAGCATGAGCAGCAAACGAGTAGTGCGAGCGTTTTCCAAACAGAAACTCTGCTCGATTGACACTGATTTCTACTTCAGTCTTGTTCAACAGGTGAGGCAGCAATGCCCTCCGCTATAATGTTACTCCCCCAAAACAAGCGTGCCATCACTCAGCCTTATAACTGTTCCTTTCGTGTAGCGCTCCTGACCTCCGCTGGGTGCGTTTACCTGCTGTGTCGCTCAGCTATTTAAAACTTGTGTTGTGACCTTGAAATGACAAGAGCACGTAGCTAGAGACAGTTCATGATGTCCTAAGGTGAAGTAACTTCTACTATGTAAATTCCAGGTCACAGAGCTGATTAAATGCCTACGTGACGTCATAAAATCTCCCAGCCTTGTAGGAAGAATTAAGCTTTGTTATTACAAGTTAGTCTGCCCGGCTAAATTTCTGGTGGTTATTCTGTCGTTAAGGCTTACTATTTGTAAATTTCTCTAAGTATTCTGATGACTCCAGTCAGTTATTACCACCAAAGCAATAATTGGCATTGAGGAAATGAATATTCTATGTGCACTGTTGTTATTAGTGATTAGTATTCGTTGGAGTATTGTAATAACTAAATGTAATCGCACCAACCACTTTGTTAATAATTCTATATTATCTTGAAAATGACTTTTTGGAAAGTTGCATAGAGGCTCCGAGATTGTTTCGATAATTATAAAGCGCAGAAATAAAAGCAGTAACTTCAAATGGGTTCTCTTCTCAATATTTCAAGTTCCCGTTTAGTGTGAGCTGCAACAAAAATGAAAAACTGTAATAAACATAACTATGTACTCGGCGTTTGAAACACTTTGTCTTGTTTCGTTCTTTCATACAGTAAGAAGAAGACTGCAAACAAATACTGTTTAAAACGCATCTACAAATAAGCAGATCCATTAGAAAATCAACAATCTGGGAATAATCCAACGACAACTGTTTGTGACGCGTATGCCATACGATGTTATACCTAAAAACACCCGAAGCAGGGAACGACTTAACTGAGCGTGGAGCAGCGTGAAATGAATAGATTATGAACAACATTCGTTTTAGCATACTTAAGTGACGCCGTTACATTTTCGAAGTTGAAAATAGGATGAAGGATCAGCCAAGAGTCACGTGATAGTTAGGATGCCCTCTATATTGCGCGTCTGTTTTTCCTGTCATGTAATCGCTAAAATTAGTGATATAATGTTACGTAGCATGAACAGGGCCCTATCCATCAATGTAGTCGTAATAATGTGTCACGTTTCTTTTCAACCGCTGTTCCAGACAAACCAAAGATCTCGCTGCAGCTGGGCACCAAGCTGAACCTTGAGAATATTCAGGAGAACAACGATGTCTATCTCGAGTGCCATGAGGACACCAACCCTCGAGTTGACGAAGTTTCCTGGCAGTTCAATGGCAACGAGCTGCAGGCCTGTGAAACGTGCTCGTCTCCAAAAACTTCCTCGTCATCCAAAGAGTGCAGACGCACCACTCGGGCTTGTACTCCTGCAGCGCCGAGAATTCCGAAGGGCGGACACAGGGCGAGACGCTTGAGCTGCGCGTTCAACGTGAGTCTCAACTCCCAAAGAGATTTTTCTTCAATGTAGCTTTCGCACAGGAGGCAGCAAGGATGAAAATGAATGCTTTTATTTACGAAGTGCAGGACTACATACAGCTTTCATCCACCTCGATGGTGCTGTAGTTGTGACGCTCGACAAAAGACCTGAAGATCGTGGGATCAACACGGCAGTGGCGGTTCTATATCAATGGCGCAGAAATGCTAGCACAGTGTTTTGAAATTATGGAAGGGATACTGACACAAACTTTTGCGGCCGAAGTATCCGGCAGGGTAGATTCCCGTGAACATTCGTCTATCATCTGCAAAATATCAACTGCGAACTTGGAAGGTATAATAAATTATTTTAAAGTTTGCGTGAGTGCTTTACTCTATCATGCCATTACGACAGTCGAAGGGATCCTTCGGAGAACCGCAACCTCCCTTGCGTCACCACGCTGCAGTCAATAAAACAAGTTTTGATGGCGTCCTAGCCGCCATTTATTTTTTGCTACGTTTGTTCATGCAGTCTATACTTGTCGACAGCTGGTCGCGAGTGCGTGGACGGGGCACATGCTTTGAAAGTTTTGTGTGTGGCGACACTGCAGTCCCGTTTATATTTGAGTGTGATCCTTAACGCGGACCGTGCGGAATTGTAACAGTTCTGTGTGCTGACGTGGTCGAGAGCTTCACACGCTAGGTGGTGATAGTTGCACCCGGCGACTTCTCGTCCTTGGAGCTCTCTCAAACCAAAACTGAAACTGATTGATAATGAAGGACCAGTGATTATTTATCGGTCGCGAGCGGCAGCAAACAGTGTGTCATGTTAGGACCAACAACACATTGCAGAAGAAAAATGCGAGGCCACAGTTTTTGGGTCAATACCTCTTTAAATGCACGGGATCATTACCGTAGGGACTTCAAATAAAATGTTTTAGTGCCTTTGAACGATTAAAAATAGCGATTGAAAGTGTTAGGATCTCTCCAAAAATTGTGACAGTAGTGTCGGTGATGGCCACAAATTAAATCATCTTTAACGTGTACACGTAGGACGCATAATCTCATCACGCACACCAGCTCTATACGGGAAACAATAAAAATACCGCAAGCTGGCTACACCTAAATTATGTCATTATATATTTTTAGTAAATATACAATAATTATCCGGACATAAACAGAACGCCATAACACAGCGTTGCATGCCATTGACTACATTAAAATTCTACCCATTGGAACCAAGAAGCGATTGAATAACCAACCCTTTCATGGTCCAAGGGCGAAAATACCTTTCATAAGCGGAGCACTATTGCCCCTTTTTTGCCTTCTGTACAACGGCGTTACTGAAAAAAAGTGACAAGGAGAAAAAGTGACAATAACGTGTAGTATCTCCAACTGAAAAGCCCTCGCTGAATCCTCACGCTGACGTGCTTTGCAGTGAAGGCGAAGCAAAGGCAAGCTTTGAACTAGCCTATTGTAGAAACAGATAGAAAAATTGCTCTATGAAATGAAAAAACTATTTCAAAACTCTACCTCGAAAGAAAAAGTATCTGAAAAGAAAAAGTGCGTGTCATTTACCGTCGTGGTCTATTCACGTCACCTGATACCAAAGTTGGTACATGTGGAGCTAGCGAAATGGCTGTTAGCGCACTATGAGTGTAGCATGTAGTCATGTTTTAGATGACACGAATGTTATTATTATCATGTCTGGTGGTGTTATTTATTTTCGTCATCCATTCACGTGCGTAATATCAAATTTGGTAAATCTCAAGCAAGAGAAACAACCGCGAGCACATCATGAGCGTGGCGTGTAGTCATGACTAGTCGTAAAATTTAAATAGTCACATGTATATCATGATTTACCATACCAGTTTTGCAAAATATGTGAACGGAACCACCACAGGAGCAGCAAGATCATGAAATGTAAATCATGACATTCATGAAATGCATGTCATGATTTTCACGTTCGATTAGACAATTATGTAGTTATGTTTGCAATAGAGTCTTGCTATGCCATACCAGTTTTGGTAACGATACCATTACTGGGATGGTCAGTAGAGCTAAAAGACGTCGGTGCCTAGATAGATAGATAGATAGATAGATAGATAGATAGATAGATAGATAGATAGATAGATAGATAGATAGATATGCTCAAAATCGGCGACGTTCGGTAAGAAGTGCTTCACATTTACCATGTAGAAAAGCTATTGATGCACCATTTAATCGACATAGATCTCAATTTTGAGGCGTTTTATGCCGACTGTTTTACCAACAATGCTGAAGGTCTGGTAATGTGTTTTGTACTGTCAAAAACGCGGATGTCTCTTTTTGTTCAGATGCATACTAACAGTGTATAGACGCCTGCAGCAGACTGTCTGTTTATTTTAAAGGATAGAGCATGGAATCATACCAGTAAAGAATTTTCAAAAACACGTGCTTATGCTGGATAGGGCATTACAAAACATGGCTTCCAGGCCAGTGCTTCTTCTAGCTTATCTTGTTGGTATGCGAGCATGGAGCAAGCGGCCAAGTGCTGGCAATACGACAAAGAACCCAAGATTCTTGGTGTTGTCATTTAAGAGAAATAAAAAAGCAAAGAAAAACTGAATTCGAGACCACCAGATGTTTTGTCCGGCAAAGTGAGCGCGATAAGAGCACTGGTTTATTGCAAGTGCCTCGACAGGGAGTTGGACAACTTTCCTGTCGCTGTGTATAACTCTATATTGCTTAACGTTCTGTGACGACCCTTTCAGGGTTATTTCTTGCCCCAAGGCTGTCTCCCCTCGTATTCACTTGAGAAGGCTGTTAAGTGTCTGTTTTGCTTGCTTTCTTATACACTTTGGTTTATTACGATGTCTTGCTCCAAGTCTCCATGTATAATTGCTTTTCTGAGCCTTTATATTTTCCTTCGTGGAGGCAGCCAATGAGCTTAAGACGTTGTGTACCATGTTTAGGAGCTTCCTTCTTGTGCTCGCTGCTTGTCCTATATCAGCAATGTTTGCAGCAATGTTGCCTGTAAACTTCTGCGGTCGTGCTCAAGGTCACCTCTCCAGTGGTTCCAAGAAAGCTCACTGGATGGCACGCCACCACCCGACGTGTCGGATTTCTACACTTTGAGGTAAAAGGGTGTTAATAGGGTGTGTGGTTCGTCCTTTTAAAGACTAATAGGGCTGCCACAACCATTTTTTACCTTTAAGGACTAACGGCACTGGGTCTAGCAGTTAGTCCTCACAGACGAGCTCAAGGGACTAACAGTTAGTCCTCACATTTACCCTCTTGTGAGTAACCAATATTTCCACAATTCACCTCGAAGGACTAATATTTAGTTCTCACATTTGCACCTTATAGAGCAACTGTTAATCCTTACATTTACACCTTACCGGGCAACCGTTAGTCCTCACAGTAGCACCTTGCCGGACGAACGGTTGATACACTCAAATGCTCCAATCGGATTAACTTTTTATTCCTAGTTCAAACATTGTTTTTTGTTTATTTTCCGCCAGGTTTAATACTTTTTTTCGCCAGTTTTTCAGTGCAGTCAGCAACAAATCGCGCAGAAAAACAACACGCGAAAAAGTAAATTGGCCACCTATGTGTAACTGCTTTCGCAGTAACGGCAACAACGAAAGACAAAGTGAGACATCAAAATCTTTATATTTCTACATACACATGAAGTTTCTCCATTCTTTTAAGTGAATTCATGGTGAAGTGTACAAGTCTAGTCTCATTGTCAAATCTTGTTCACTCTTTGGGGAGCTCCTCCGAAGGAAGCGATAGATGACAGGCATTGCTCACGCCAGCGCACGCAGCCTTCTGCCTTTTGTGTTGCCATGGCTGCACGTACAATAATATAGTAAAAATAGTTAGACACACGTGACAGAAGATGAAGATACACGCATGTGACAAGTACGTCCACGTTAATATAAAAAGAAGCGTTAAAATATGACACAAAAGTAACTTTACCTTCAAATCTCGCACAGTCCTTCTGAAGCTGCTCTGACGAATGAGATGGATGACAGGCATCGCAGACGTCAGCGCACAAAGTCTGCAGCACGGTGTGTGCCCTCGGCTGCACAATAAGTATGTAAAATTGTGAGTCACACGTGACAGAGGATGAATACAACTGCATATGAGAAATATGTGCAAAGTGAAAGGAAAACATACGTGAGATATGACATGCTAATAATTTCACCGTGATGTCACACATCGTCAAATACTCATTTCGATCCCCGTAGCGCAGCAGCTTAGGAGTGGTGACCGCAGCCACAGCTCCGCGAACCACCGTGCCGCTAACAAGTCAGCGAGTCCTGAGTGAGCGACGTCGTTCAGCTCGAGCAAGTGAACGTGAAACCAAACACGGCGCTGCACGCGGAGTCTCTGCCGCCATCGAACTTCGAACAGGAGAACGAGCGTACGCTTGGCCGCCGCCACGAACAGCGCCGAGCTGGTTCGGAGCTAGCGCCGATGAAATCGACGGTAATGCGGCCCTTTTCCAGAAACTCGAGCGAGTGCAGTGCGCAAACGTGAGTCCACCGCCACGGTTAACGGACGGCGCCGAGCTGCTTGCGACCAACTGACGGGAAATGCAACTGTAATGGCGAGCATTTTTCAGCGAGTTCCGACGCTAGAAGAAGCCCCGCCAGCCTGTGCTGGTGTACTTACAGCGCGCGACATACCACAACCGAGCTCTTTACGAGAACACGCAGCGTGTTTTCGACGACTCCCAACACAGCGACAAGGTCTCAGCTCCATATCGTCAGCCCGGAGCTCATCGCGGCGGTGAAGACAGGCGAGCACTCGATTAGCGAGCGTACGGGAGGCCGACGGCGATGGCGGCCGATTTCTAGGCGTTCACAAAGCACAAGCGAACTGCAGATGCCGAAGCTGACCTTCGCGATGCATTTCGTGCGTGCGATATACAAAACGACTGAGCCCATTGCTGTCAAGTACGATCCGATTCGCACACGCGACAAGTAGAGTAGAATAAAGAATGATAACCTACTTGCCTTAAAATCT